ACTCCTTAAAGGGGGGTTATATAGGGGATTCTATAGAGGATTACCAAAGGGGTTATTAAGGGGGATACTAGGAGTTTAGACTATAGCTCATGTGATTTTCCATTTTCTCGTCTATTTGATTCTCCTTTTCGAAGAAGTGTCCTAGACTCTGTGTATCTCTAGATCCCTACACAACCCCTATGACGAACCCCTTGAGAGGGACCCAAACAGGCCAAAGCTTTTCAGGAGTGCTGTTAAGGAACTTAAATTAAGTTACTATATTGGGGAACCCTATAAATTACTATATATATATATACCCATTATGGTAACTTAATTTAAGCTCCTTAGCAGCAACCCACTTTTAAGGAGTGCAAGGAGGTGAAGCAGAAGGGCGCGGATTGGACGGCGTGCACGGCAGCTCCAATCTCCACCAGACGGATTTTGTTTTTTTTGGGTTATCATTACCGCGGTCTATGGGTTGAGGGTTTAGGGGAATGCAGGGGTCTAAGATAATTTCTAGCATCATTTCGACACTTATTTGAGGAACCCTATAGATACCACGAACCTAGGACGATAACATTGGCAATTACGCGGCCTCTATATCGGCAGGTTTAGGGTCGGGCTAAGTGACTGCGTGTAGTGTAACTTGTAACTTGGTGTTATGGCCCATGGACCTCCAAGTGGAGGTCAAGCTTGCAGATTACGGCTGACTTAACGTTGTTTGGTATTCGGGCCCAGAGATGGGAGCGCAGGCATGAAGTTCTGGTTAGGTTTTAGGATTCAGGGTTTAGGGTTTAGGGTACGAATGCTTGATGCAAGAGCAGAAAGGGCGTGGAGGTCTTCATTATGGCCACGCTCGAAGGAGCCCCACTGTCACTATCCCATTGCCGTCCTTGTGCTATTTGTGCAGAAAGTGTTCGCCCTACTTATGATATGCTTTGGGAGGAGCCCCCACCCTGTAATAGTGGTATAATAGGAACTTAAGAGGACCCTAGCATAATCCTTATTATCCTTCATAGCCACTATTACAGGGTTTGGGGTCCACCTAAGATATGCCCCCAAACTAGGATCCTCAAAGCTGAAGATGAAAGAATCCTCAAGAGCGGACATTGTAACTACGCAGACCTCTGATGTGTTGCTTGAATGTGACGGTAGGAATTGTAGGACTTGGTCTTTACAAGGCAAACTTTTTGTCATACCTGCTGTGGTACTTGGAGGAGGGGGATGTGATGATCACTAGTCCTACTACTCGCGCAAGTGGCAGCAGCAGGAGGACCCTAGGGGCCTCAAAGCTTAGGAACAACATAGTTTAGGGGCCCCAGGTGTTGCAAGATTTTCTGGCGGCGGCGGCGGTGGTGGTGGTGGTGATGGGGGTGGTGGGGGTGGTGGGGGTGAGGAGCAGGTGCCAGTGGTAGCAGCATCAGTGGTTCTACTCGTAGGACCGGAGGTGGCAACAGCGCACAGCAGCAGTCTATACAATCTTCTATCAGCCGCCAAACTCAGTGATGGTGGATGCCCATGACTTTCGTTGTGTTGACGGTCATGAAGATAGTGAACTTGCTGCGGCACACTTCCGAACCTGCTCAAGCTGAGGCAGATCAGTGGATGCCGTTTCGCTACTCCCAGTACTTCCTGCAGGAGGCTTAGGATGCGCTTTGGCGGTGCGCGGTGAGCTCGGCATATGACCATAGGATGTACAGACCTCCGCATGGAGGTTCCTAGGGTCCTTCCCCCAGTGGTCTTGTCACTTTCCGTGTGCTGTTGGGAGGCTATCTCACAGACACGCCGAAGGCACATGCCCTTGCTTGTCGATTTTCTGTCCTTTCGATGGATAGTCGAAGCTCAGACACACCGGGACAAAACGGAGCAAGAGGGTGCTGGCTTCTTTTACCCTTGGGTCTTGAAGCTAAAAACCCGGTATTTACCGTACAAGGTATTTGGACGTTCAGTTGTACCTACCTAGAACTGGTCACAGCCGTACTAGGGTTGGGTAACCTATACAAGGCCAGTGGGTGGACTACAAGTAGGGCTGCGATGCCACTCTAATGTGGTTACTTAGTCCGAGGAACCTGCAAGTAGTAGGTTACATAGGATTTCATTTCCCAACCTCAAGTTCACAACGCGGGTCGCACTAAGCAAGGCAAGCAGTTGTGTATGGTGACGCCCCCATGAAAGATGTGGAGTGCTCCCGACGTGGCCGTGATTTGTTAAGCAAGCCCTGAGGGACTCCATCTACGAGGGAACCATAATTACCATAGTAGAAGGCAAGATACGACCCTGGGGAGCTTACTTGGAGGCTCAGGGGGACTTAGCAAGTAGGTTAATAATCCCTATAACCCATATAGTAACCCTAGTTATCCTAATTATTACGCCATTTTACTAAGCCCCCCTGACCCTCCAAGTAGGGAGGTCTTAAGGAGTCCTTTGTTTTGGCTTCCCCTTTGTATGGGGCCCTAAAGCCTAAACCCTAAACCAGGGTTTAGGTTTTAGGGTTTAGGGCTAAATCCCAAACCCTAAACCCCCAGGGATTCCTTGGTTTTGAGAACCATCCAAATACGAAGCCCGGCGAAGCAGAAGGAGATGCCTGAAATCTGAGGGAGGAATGCAAGGACAATGGAAACTACCAAGTTCTTTCGTGTCTAGGATTAGGGTATAGAATGGAGCAATGGAAAAGACACTGCCAACATGTGTATATATATATATGTGTATAGTGTATGTATATGTATCTGTCTGTATATATCTATATATTCAGAGTTTAGGGGTTTAACAGCCTCACCTAGTGACTCCGGCAAGGATTGGCCACTAACCTTCATGATGGTAGCACCATGACTCTTGAGAGAGAAAGAACGAGACGAAGTTTGTGCTTAACAGAGACAATAACGCCAGGCAGAAGATTGCGTGAAAGGGCACTAATTTAAGTTTGTATTTGTGTCCGGTGTCGTACCTTAACAGGAATGGAAACTGTACAGCGTCTGTTGTGCCAGACTTGAAGATCAAAAGCCAGACCTTGTGCATGTTGCTCCGCAGAATCGTCTCTCCTGCAAGTCGATTCTCTTGTTCGTAGCTCCGGCAAACTTGAGCCATGGGGTGTCACCCAGCAGCACGAAGTGGTGCAAGGAGTGTTCCGGGATTCTAGGAAGTAGTATACTTCTTGACTTGTGCGTGCTATAAACCCCTACAGCCAGCTACAGTCAATTTTCGGGTGCCTCAAGCCCTTAAATCCCCAAAACCTAAACCCCAAACCCTAATCCCCAAACCCAGGCGCTTGGGCTTACAGGTCCCGCTCCTTTCTG